CTAAGTTTTTCATAGGTTTTCATATTTCCAAAGTTTATCGCGACGAGTGAATTTGCGAAATTACATTAGAACTTTTAAAATTGACATTGTTAAAGCAATAATATACTCATATATTTTTTTGGAAATTTTTTGAATTCAAATAAAGATCAAAGAAAAAAATTAATGCGATTTTTCTATTTATGTACTTGAAAAAAAAGTAGTTATTGAATAAGGAATTTTCATGAGGGTAATGAAAGCTCTACCAGTTCCTAATTTTAAAACACTATCCTATCTTTAGAAAACACATTTTATTTTGATATTGTAAATCTATTATAAAACTAAAAAAATGAAAAAACACAAAAAGAATTTATTTATTAAAAAAATATAAACATGTTTATTCCAACTTAAAATGAGGAAACTTGTTTGTTAAATACTTATAAATAAAATATTTTTAATCTATATTGTTATAAAGTTATATAGTCATTTGTGTAAGAATTAGGTAGCATAAATATTCCATTTTTGAATGCTTAAATCTCTTTCAAATATTATCGTTCCATCTGAAATGCATAAAATCAATAATTGTTTTGGAAGTACAATTATAATAAATGGCACCAAGCACCAGAATCGGCTAAACTGTGCTAATCGCAAACATTTTATAAATTAAACACTGTTATAAAGTGTATCCAATGGGACGAAGTGACACCACGAGGCTTTCTTGAAGTCGTAAAATAGTGGTTTTAGTAAAGAAACTCCTTAAGAGTAGACCAAATACGACAAGCTCTCACATTTTAGTTGTGCCAAATATTTCCATTTATTATAATATCTAGAATAGCTAATATAAGATTTGTTCGGAATTAAATCATTCTATTTCCGACACAGTAATCGTATGAATAAATCCCAAGAAAAAGATGAAACATTCCACTTTTAATTAGGATATTCAAGATGCTGTTAGGTTGTTCACTACGTCTCGATGCCTTGTACAGTTGCACTGTTATTTGAAAATCCGATGATCAGATCAAAAATTAATTCTATGATATTTTTGGGGAGGTGCCTCAAACTGCTAACAGTTGTCACAAATATCCATTTTATTAAATGACAATGGACAGCTTTTGAACTGTCTATAATACAATTAAATATATAACCTGTAAAAGCCTTCAAAAGAGAGATAATTTCATGTAATTTTTTTTTAATAGTACATGTGGGGAAAAAGCAGTTATTGAATAAAGAACTTTCCGGGAAAAGCTTTCTGATAAAGAAAGTTCTTCAGTTTTAAGTTATAAAACAAACGCTATCGCCAGAGCTGTATTTGGTTTTGATATTGTAAATGAAATTCTGTCTCTTCAAGTGCATACAATTTAAAAAAAGGTAATCAAGGTGACAAAAATAAAGTTGTTTGATGATAAATAAAGAATTATTTTTATAGCATTCTTATTTTCCTCGAATTGAAGATTTATTTAAGATTGTGCCAACCTACCGTTTAAGTTAAAGAAACATAAATATTTATTTTATTATTTCGAAAGTTTTGCTAATTTTAACTTAAAAAAAAAGAATTGTGCCTTTTTGTGTTCACCTATTTTCAGTAGTTAATAATGAATCATTTTTATTTTGTTTTCAATAATATTGAGTCTTAAATTTGTATGTATGAGACATTACTGGAAATCAATTTTCAATGTGCTATTAGTCTGTGTTGTTTCATCTATAATTATATTGATAAAAGGCAACTAATTTTAAAAAATTTAAAGCATTTTTTTAAAGTATCGTAAAAAAATTTCGAGCCTAGCTTCAAACATATGTACTTATAGCTCATTGTTATATTATTTTAAATAACGGTTTAAATTAAATATTATTATTCTAAAACGAGCTATTGTTATTAATTTATATCATTCTTGCTCATTATGCTATAAACCATGCACACACAGTCGCTAAATATGTAGTAGAAAATAAATCTCAAAATGTTGATATCTTATTAAGTTGATATCTTATCAATGTTACATGATAGTAGCAGTTACGTCATCAGAGAAAAATTAATCAGTTCATAAAAGGTTGATATGTAGTAAGAATCATACAGTTGTCGTTTAGGGAATAAAAAGTATTAATTTCAGGCTTCAAACACTGTAAACTTTTAAAGTATCAAAGTTTTTAGCATGTTTAACCAAACTGAAGAAGTGTTTACGTTCACTTGGGAATTTGACGACCTCATTGATTTATTAAATACGGTGGGTGAATACCAGAGAGAAAGTAAAATTGTTGAGGCTAAACAACTGAATGGCACAAAATGGTATTTAAGAGTGTACAGATGTCAATCACTAATTGCAGGCTGTTTTACGTGTTGTTTATGCAGACTGAATGACGAAGACAAATCTGAAAATATATCAGTAACATATAAATTAGAACTGATTGATACGTATGGGAAGATATTCAAATCAGTTGTAAAGGAAAATATCACCTTTTCAAGAAGATCTAGCAGTGAAGTTGACAGTTTTCTAGATAGTAGTTCCTTGGAACAGTATAGGAAATTTACAGGACTCTTGTGTCCGACATTAAATATTCGCTGCCATATAATTGACGCAAGTTACAAAAAACAAGCAATGACGGTGGAAATTCCAACTGTAATCCATACACAGTGGAAAATAAGTATTCCTGGTCCTGAAATCTGGTCAAAGAAGTTAAAAGTTCCATTTCATGAATGTACTCATATAGATATTATTATGCATGCTACCGATGAAAGAATCATCATAAAAATTGAAAAAGTGGATTCGTTGCAACCTTATAAAATGAATGTATCAATATTGAGTGATGAAAATCGCAAAATAGATTGTGAATTGCCAAAAAAAGCCGTCGAAAACCAAAAATTTGAGACTTGGATTGAAAAACGTCAGCTTGTGGACAAATCATGCTTTCACTTACCATATTCCTTCACTCTGGTATGTTCCATTACTACTTCAAATGGAAGTTTAGATTCAAGCGTTGAGAATTGGAAGCAGGACAATTCTTTTCCAAGTTTAAAGGCTTCTCCTTCAACTCTGCAAAAAGATCTCAAGAAAATGCTATTGAACGACAAGCATAGCGACGTAAAATTGAAGGCACATGACAAAATCATAGCTGCTCACAAATGCTTCCTGTCAGCCCGATCTACCGTGTTCTCCACCATGTTCGATCAAGATATGCTGGAAACTCAGACTGGCGTTGTTGATATTCTTGATGTAGAAAGTGAATCATTTTTAGAAAGTGAATCATGACTCTGCAATCATTTTTAGAGTTTCTGTATACTGATGCGATCCCCGTTACCGATTGCGAGGAAGTTTTGAAACTGATGTTAGTGGCTGATAAATATCAAGTTGACAATCTAAAAGAACGATGCTCACAAATACTGATCACAAAATTGAGCGTGGAAAACATTTGTCAAATAATTTCTGTTGCTGAAATGGTAAATCATCCAGAACTAAAACTGTCTGCGTTCGATTTTATAAGAGCAAACAAAAAAGAAATAATTTCGTCCTCAATTTGGTCAGAGTGGATGAAAAAGAATATGGAATTAGCTACCGAAATTTTAATGAAAATGATTGTCGATTAAACTCAACACCTCTTTATGTGAAAGTGAGTAACTCATTTTTTATAAATTTATATCATTGTTAGAATTTTATTTATTTCGAAGTCTTTTCGTTGACATATCAAGTCTACTTTATTTTTAAAGTAAGCAATTGACTTGTTTTTATCAAAATATCGATGACGTAGTAATATAGCAAACATTACTATCATATTTGACATGAATTCCCAGGGTGGGGCAAGGTCTTCTTCTGAATATTTCACTAAGACAGCCTTCTGTTTGACCTGGACTGTCAATCTTTTCTTCCAATAACTTTAAAATATAATACCACAGAATCGAGTCATAGTCGTTTTGGCTTTCTTTTTCGATTAGTAAAGGGCTTCTTTTAATCCATTCTTTCTGATAATATCAGAAGCAAAGTTAAATACTTTTTATTTTATTCTAATATATTCCTGGTGGTGTTGGATTGTTTTAAAAATTTAAAGTTTCTGAGTTAAAATGTCTTCGTCAGAGGCCATTTTATCTAATTTAGCCACATACAAAAAAAACTCTCTTAAGAACCTTATTTTTAAAAAACTGCTATTTTTGTTCTCCATTTTTAGTTAAAGGCAAGTTATTTGAACCATAAATTAGAACTATACCATTAGAACCATAAATTAGAGGGTCTGTTTAATAGATTAGGTACTTTCTTCTGGATAGAAGAAGAGTTTTCAATAAAAGCGTTTTAGTGGTCAATGAAAAGTGCATACTTAAATGCTTTTGTTAAAATTTAGTGATCATTCAGTTTAGTAAATATATGGAATTTAGAGTGTATTATAAAATTGATTGTTAACATTGTATTAAAGATTGATTGTTAATAGTATATTATAAAATTGAGTGTTAATAGTGTATTGTATGCTCGCAGTTGAAATTTTCAATGTACAACAAACTGACCTAGTTACGATTACTTGAAAAATATGGTTTCATGTAATATATTTGCCATAATTTTAAAAAAAAAAGATATAGAGATATCAATATAAGTGAAAAAAATTGAGATTCAGTTATCCCCACTTAATAAAATTGATTTCTAATCAGTGCATTATATGTTTGTAGCTAAAATATTTTAAACGCAGCGCATTGACCAAGTTGCAATTTGTTGAAAAACATGGTTTGATTTTACGTAATATTTGCCGTATTTTTTAAATAAAAAAATGTAAAAATAAATAATAAAAAAAGCAAAACTGTTGTCGCTATCATATCTTAAATTATAAATTTCCAAACTTTTTGTTTAAAAAGGTTCACTTATTCTATTATTAACCGATTCACGAAAACGAACGAACCAATTCTTATCTCTCGTCAGCATTGAGATGATAACATTCAGTTTTTGCGTTTCAAAAGATAATAAATTCTATTGTTTGTTGAAAATATAAATTGATAACTGTTGTGTCTTGAATTCCCCTGAAAAAAAATTTAACCTTCCATGTTCCGTAATAAATTATCGAATATTTAAAATTCGTCGAATCAACGTTCTTCAAAGGAAGTCACTAAATATATAGCAGAAAAAAAATCTAAAACTTTTGATATCTTATCACGTGCATGTGTCACATGATAGTAGCAACTACGTCAGCAGAAAGAGAAGAATTAATCAGTTCATGAAATGCTGATATGTGGTAAAAATGATATAGGTTGTCGTTTATGGAATAAAAAGTATTTCTTTCAGGCTTCAAAGACTGTAAATTTTCAAGGTATTAAGGTTTTCATCATGTCTAACGAAATTGAAGGAGTGTTTACATTCTCTTGGGAAATCGGCTACATCAATGATTTAGTAAATAGAAGAGATGAATACCAGAACGAAAGTCAAATTGTTGAGGCTGAACAATTGAATGGCACAAAATGGTTTTTAAAAGTGCACCGATATCAATCACCATTTCCAGGCTGTTTTTCGTGTTCTCTATGCAGGCTATATGAAGACGGAAAATCTGAAAATATATCAGTAACATTTAAATTAGAACTGATTGATGGAAGTGGGAAGATTTTCAAATCAGTCGTAAAGGAAAATATCTGTTTTTCAAATGGATATAGCAGTGGAGTGGACCGTTTTCTAGATAGAAAATCCTTGGATATGAAAATGACGCAATACATTACGAATCCGACATTAACTGTCCGCTGCCACATAATTGAAGAAAGCTTCAAAAAACAAGCACTGGCGGAGGAAATTCCTACTGCAATCCGTACACAGTGGAAAATAAATATTCGTGGTCATAAAAATTGGACGAAGAAAATAAAAGTTCCATTTCATGAATCTACTCGTATAGATATTATTATGCAAGCATCCGACGAAAGAATCAACATAAAAATTGGAGAAGTGGGTTTGGTACAACCTTATGAAATGGATATATCAATATTGGATGATAAAAATCGCAAAATAGATTGTGAATTGACAAAAAAAGCCGTCGAAAACCAAAAATTTGAGACTTGGATTGAAAAAAGTCAGCTTGTGGACGAATCACGTTTTCACTTACCGTATTCGTTCACTCTGGTATGTACCATTATAACTTCAAGTGCAAATTTGGATTCAAGCTCTGAGAATCGGACGCATGAAGATTCTTTTCCATGTTTAATGGATTCTCCTTTACCTCTGCAAGACGATCTCAAAGAAATGCTATTGAATGACAAGCATAGCGACGTTCAATTGAAGACACGTGACAAAATCATTGCTGCTCACAAATGTTTGCTGTCAGCCCGATCTCCCGTGTTCTCTAAAATGTTTGATCAAGATATGCTGGAAACTCAGACTGGCGTTGTTGATATTCCGGATGTAGAAAGTGAAACTCTGCAATCATTTTTAGAGTTTCTGTACACTGACACGATCACCAACACTGATTATGAGAAATTGTTGAAACTGATGTTTGTGGCTGAGAAATATCAAGTGGATTACTTGAAAAAACGATGCTCAGTAATACTGATGTCCAAACTGTCTTTGCAGAATGTCTGTGAAGTGGTTTCTGTTTCTGATATGGTCAATCAACCGAGTTTGAAACTGTGTGCAGTTAATTTTATAAAAGAAAACAAAAAGAAGATTCTATCCTCACCTGTTTGGTCAGAGTGGGTGGGAAAGAACATGGAATTAGCCAATGAAATTCTGACGAAATTGATTGATGTTTGAACCGAAACACAATGCAAATTTCACTTAAGTAAGTCATTTTTTAATTGTAAACTTTGTGAGGTTTTGCAATTTCAATAAATTGCATATGAAAATTGCAGATTTGGGACAATACTATAACGGAGTATATATATTAAAATAGTATTTAAGATGTTGGTTATTAATTTTAATTTCATAATTACGTTACTCATTTTAACAGTTCATATTTAAAAATCAATTATAAACTCTCGCCTTATCTTAGTAGTATCTCGATATTAGTCCTGAAAACAAGCACTAGGCAATTTAACGAAAAAATGCGACTTGAATAAACAACAGAGCTTTTTCTTAAAACTCATTTAATGATACAAGTGTAACAATGTAGCAAGAGTCTCTGTAAAACCGAATTTTCATTAAAATGTCTCCATTCAAAATTTTGATCTTTAAGAATCCATCAATTTGGGGTGGAAAGACCCAAATGGAAAGAAAGTTCGTTCGAAAACTTAGTTTTAAAGTTCGAAAACTTTAAAAACTTTTGGCGTATTCGTTAAATGTATTTTCCCTCCCCTAATATTTTTATTTAAAGTTCTTCAATATGTGAGTATGCTTAACTAAATTTTCTCAAATATTTGCATTATTTTTATACAACTTTTGAGTTACAACTTTTGTTATTGTATTATTTCACTTATTTTATTATATAATTGTATTGATAATTAATTGAAAGGATAATTTAATCCAAGTGAAAAAAAAGTCTGCAATAAGTGGCTTTAAAGTGAAAAGGACCGATCAATTCACAGACTAATTTATTTCGAAGAAAAAGCGGCTGCAAATTTATTAGTTTATCAGTCACTGGTTAGTAACTGAAAATTTAAATTTTCCTTCCATGGTGTATCGTGTACTTAAAACTGCTTCATCTGTTTCGAAGAGTGGTTAATTTATCACCTATTCTTCGTTAATCAGCTTTATACTCTAATATGTACAATATGATAGCTTGCGCGAATCTAAATTTATTTCGACAACTTAATAACTTGTTTACTTTGAAAATGACTTTTTAGAGTTAATTTTGAGTTCGAACAGAAAAATTGCTTTTATATCATCATGTTAAATTCAAATCTGAACGCTGGTTCAAAATTAAAACGACACTTCTGCACTCACTTCTCATGTTATTTGAATGAGAAGTGAGTGCAGAAATGTCGTTTTAACTTTGAACCAGCGATATGTTCTCGTTACAGTTTAACATTAAAACGTAAACTGTGCATTTTAAAACTCAAGTGCATAAAATTCAACTTGTAATATGAATATTATGGTTATTTAATATTCGGATTAAATAATTAAATTAATTCGTTTTTTAGCCTTTAGGATTAAATTATGATATTACTAATTTTGCCAATATATACAAATTTTTAATTCAATAAAATTCAATTATTACTGTCTATATGGTATATAATCATCTACATATAATAAGGTTAAATTTTTAAGTTTAAAATAAACTATTATCAGTGATATCATGGTAATGATTTTTATATAGCTTGTGATAGTTATGGTTTTCATGCAGAATTACATTTTTTAATTCTACTAATTAAATTTGATTATGATGATTAAAGGTTTTTCATAATTAGTTTATCTGTAATATCTTCGAAGTATAAGGCATTTTTTAAGATGCGATGCTAAAAATGGCACATGAAATATTATCAGATAATATCTCATATGCAAATTTGAATTATATTTACTAAAAATTTAAGTTTTAACAAAATTAACTTAGTAAACTTAAAATCTTTTGTAAATACCTAATTAAAACAAGTTTTTCTTGATCTTTGAAATATGCTGATAATAATGATAAATTAAAATCAGATGAATAGTATACTATTTTTCTAAATTAAAAAATGAAATGCAGTTTGATAAAAACTCACTTCAAATGACAAACAGTTTGTAATTTAATTCTTAAATTTAATTACTCTTGGTATCATTGTAATTATAGTTATTTTGAGTGAACAGAGCAAAACTATTCAATAGATATCTCTTTTTAACCCTGTAAGCCCGCTAGACTGGTACATACATTTAAGTTAATAGTAATTATATACCCAATCTATAATTAAATTATATTAATTATCGCTTATAAGCTGGCCCTTATTATGTCACTTCTTTCTTCTTTTAATGATCCTTTTCATTACTTTTATAACGTTTTGAAAAGAGTCTGCAGAAGTTGTGTGGGTTAGCGTTAGATTTTACAAATCTGCTTTTCTTCTTTTACAACAAATTAATACCGCTGCATCTTCCTGTTTAGATAACTTTCAGTAATGTTATTGTATTGCTTTTCTTACTGACTTCGCATTGAAAAAATACACTTTCTAGGAGCACTTTTTTATGTATGAATAGAAATATTTCTCAATTTCTAACAATCATGCTTGTCATCAATCATAAGTTTACACGAAAACTATTAGCATTTATGCTAAGATTTATTCATGAAATTATTCTAAAATTGAGGTGAAGAAAAAAATCGCTTTTCACAATTACCACTCAAACGTTAAGAGTAAGACATTCTAATATTGATTGATCTTCCTCATTCCTTATAATATCCGTAAACCAAGTTTCATTGAAATGACATTTGATTACTAACCCTAAGAAAAAAATTAGTTTTTCACAGATATAACGCAAATTTTTCAGAGTAAAATGCTCTAATGGTAAAAGTGGCCTTCCTCATGCTTCAAAATATCAGTGAAACAATTTTCATTCACTAATAATATGGATAAGCGGTATAAGATATATGGTATAATTACGCATCCGTAACAGTCAGACAAACAATAAATTTTTAACTCATGCACTTTTAAAAGTGAATGATATTATAGTGTTAAACCATGACCCCTTTAAATTTTCTGCAACCTAATATGGTTGTTAAAACCTTATTTTGTATTTAGGTTGATCCACTTTATGCTGTAGATACACCTGAACTGAAATCGAGATCATCTGAGCACCTGAATATGGCATTACGAACGGACAGTGTCTGATCACATAATCTAATTCAAAAGCCTCACGACCAATTGTTGTTGTACCATGCCTGTTTGGGTAGAGGTGTGCGATTGTTCTTGTTTTCCAATAGCCACACCATACTTCTGCCACAACATACGTCACACCCGTTTATACGGCGGACCCATTCATACATCCATTCATTCATCCACAGATCGTAATTTTGACCTGAAACAGAGAGCGATCAATCTCCAATCCGTTACCGCCAGAGGTATTTATTTGTTTATGGGAACATGGAGGACTTTTGCGACTCGACAGATTTAACGTGCATCAGTCACTTTACTACATGGGGAATCTTCGGCAGTCGAGGTTTGAACCCACGAACTCTCGGACATGAGCCCAGCGCCCTACCGACCTATCCCGGCCTACGACCAATTATTTCTCCACAGTAAATTAGACCGAAAGTGTTACAACCGGACCTGATCCAATTATTGTCTGAAGACGTAAACAGACTGAAAAATGTTAGTATCTTCTTTAGAAGAGGAAACTAATTAAAACCTTAAGAGGGAACTTGAAGGCCGCGCTTAATCTTTGAAGGCAATAACATCGTATTGTGGTTCTATGTATAGATATTATGGCTCAACGTTAAACTTGTTTTTTCTAGTATAGATGAAATAACCCAGGGATTCTCTGAAGGTATTCCGCGGAAAAGTCAGTTTGTTAGGTTTTTTTCTGTTTCTTTTTTTTTTAAAACTTGTAATAGGTTTACATACTATATTGTACAGGTTTATATCGAATAAGCGTTTATTTTTTTTGAAATATTTCGGTTAGTTTATTGAAATTAATGAAGTAAAATTTCAATAAAGGAAGACAAATTTTAAAATAGATATACATATTTTTCCATTAACAATATACTGAATAAATTGCCAAAAAAATATGTATTTGCGACTGATTACATCAGTATTTCTCATCTAATAATAAAGTGCAAAAAAATCGGAAGTTAAAAGTCCAAAAATCAAAAGAAATTTTTTTTTTTTATGAGCATTCACCCAGTTTATAACAGTTCTTCTTCAAAGACCGTAATTCAGCTTATTTTACTCAATTTGATTTATGCATGGGCCAAATACTACTAGCGTTTCCTTTAGCCAAAGAAAAAGATTTCTTAGCTAAAAAAAAATTTATACCCACTAAACTAAGCACCTTATCATAATTCAAAACTATAAATCTACTGTTTTTCTTTTTACAATAAAGCTTTATTCAAAGAAATTCAGAGAAAAAAAAACATATTGAAAAAGAAATTCCAAAATCTTGTATTTCTTTATCTTATGCATCACATGAGGATGAAAAAAAAACGTAAAAAAAGAGAATTACTGCACAAAAACGATAAATACTTTTGTTCTGCTGATGAATAGTTCTAGACTTTGAACATGGAAAGTTTTTACAAGACTATTTATTTTATCGTCTTCATTGCCAAACTCTTACACTGGTATTAAATGATTTAAAGCATTTATTTTATGTTATATTGGCCTGAAGGAGTGTTTTCGTTTACCAAATGTGTGAAAAATAGCCAGTTACTTCAATTAAGGCTTTTAGGAACTATCGAAGGTTATCGATTCAGTTTTTAATTTCATCATTTTCGATTACATGACTGTTAAAAAACGATCCTCATTCACTCAGTTATTTATTTCGATTCCATAGGTTTTTAAAAGAAAACCCCTATTTAATTTGTGCTCTGAGTGACTCAACGAGTGTTCCATACGGTTACTAAGAATTTTAAAAGAAAATTCTAATTTAATTTGTGCTGGGTGTGACTCAAGGAGTGTTCCATACCATTCCTAAGGTTTTTAAGAGAAAATCTCCGTTCATTTTGTGTTCCGCGTGGCTGTTCCATACGATTCCAGAGGTTTTATAAAGGAAAAAATATCCAGTTAATCTGTTCCGTGTGACTAAAGGGGTATTTTCGTTCATTAGATATGCTATCAGTAGTCAGTTAAAGGAATAGAAGAGTGGTATTGATCGTTTGCTGATTCTTATCGATTCAATAACTAATTACATTAATTTCGATTCAATATTAGTTTAACATATATAAGAAGTAATTTTACTTAATTATGGCTACTGAGACTAAAGTATTTACGTTTACTTGGACTATTGACAGTACTCAATTACTTATATTAAAGAGTACAAGAGCGATTGAGAGTCCTATTGCTGATGATGATATAGTTCAAGGAAACAAATGGTCTTTAAAAATGTGCAGGAGATCCCCTCTGTCAGATCATATCAATATTCACTTGGAGAGATGTAATTTGGATGAAGCTATAAAAGATGTATCGGTTTCATTGAGTTTAGAAGTTGTTAATTCGGATGGAACTTCCTACAATATTGCTAATGAATCATATACATTTTCGAAGCTTTTATCACCTGCAGTCGATTTTTTTATTACAGATAAGAATTTTTTCTCATATCTAGGAAAAAGAATGGAAAAAATTAGTGCGAGAGACAAATTGATGCTGCGTTGTCATATAACTCACGAAGAACAGCATACTTGCAGCAATCATGCAGCCATTCAAGCGCAGATGGAAAATAAATATTCCTGAGATTTCGATTGTTTCAGAGAAATTAAAAGCTTCCTCTCAAGAAAATATTCTTTTCGACATAATAATATCCGAGTCCAGTGAAAGAATTTACATAACAATTGAAGTGGATTTTAATTTGTATGAGCTGAAAATAATGGTGCTAGATGATGAGGAAGTGGAAATCGACATTAAGGATCCAAAATATATACTCGAGTCTACTCAAAGATTTGAGACTTGGATCGAAAAGTGGCAAGTTGCGGCTCATTCATGTTTTCATTTAGCTTATTCGTTCAACCTAATATGAGTTATTTCTGCTTACAGTGGAGTTTTGGAATCGATTGAACGTGGTTCGTTTGATGATCATGGTGATAAATATGCCCTTAAAAAATGACTTCATCATTCTTGTAACAAGATTTAAAAATTATGTTATTAAGTGAAAAGCATACCGACGTGAAATTAAGCATTGGAGACCTCTTTTTACTAGCCCACAAATGCTTGCTGTCAGCCCGATCTCCAGTGTTTGCCACCATGTTCGATCAAGATACAGTGGCAGTCAAAAGTATTCGTACAATGAATTTTGAAGTGCTCATCGCTTCATAGTATTTTATTAATTATACTACGTCATTAAACACAGATACCAGGCCTTGTATCCTTTATTTTTGAGCAATTTAATCAAAAGAAGTTTTCTTGTAAAACAATTACAGAAAAAAAATATAAAAAATAGAAATTAATTATCAAAACTTTTGTGTCAAAAGTATTCGTACACTTAAGAAATTTCCCTAAAATTATATAGTATATCACAGTTTAATACTTAGAAGGATACCCTTTCGCCTTAATTATTGCTTTCATTCGACTTGGCATTGAATCTACCAACTTCTTTGTAATATCTGGTGTAATTGATGCCCATTCTTCCAATATGGCGGTTTTCAGCTGATTTTTATTTTTTACTCCTCGATTTTTGATTTTGTCGTCTAAAATACTCCACAAATGCTCAATAGGATTCATGTCTGGTGATTGTGGAGGTGTGTTGAGTCTTTCGGGAGTGTTATATAATACCCAGAGCTTAGCATTATAAGCTGTATGCTTAGGGTCGTTGTCTTGTTGAAATATATAGTTAGTTTGAAGACCCATTTGTGAAGCGCTAGAATTTAAATTACTTTTTAGAATGTCAATGTACTTTTTGTGATCCATAATCCCATCAATGATGTGCAATTTACCCACTCCATGTGCGCTCATACATCCCCAAACTAGAATGTTACCACCGCCATGCTTTACTGTCGCACTCAAATTTTTTGGTTGTAGCTCTGTATTCTTTTTACGCCACACAATTTGTCTGCCATCAGATCCAAACACGTTAAACTTGCTCTCATCCGAGAATATAACCCTGTTCCAGAAATCAGGATTTTTATTAACATGCTGTTTGGCGAAAGACATTCGTTTCTTTCTATTAACTTCCGACACAAAAAACTTTTTTCGAGATACTCGACCATGGAATCCTGATTCGTTAAAAGTGCGGCGTATAGTACTTACCGAGATCGAAATTCCCTGTTTGAGGAGTTCTGCTTTTACTGCCGGGGCACTCAATTTTGGATTTTTCTTAATCAATCTTACGAGTAAGCGTCTGTGCTTAATGCTGAGAATTTTTGGGCGTCCACTTCGTGGAATATTTTCAACAGTATTGCGTTGGCAATGTCGATCTATAACACTCTGCACTGTAGATCGGGGTCTTCCAATAGCAAGTGATATCTTTCTTAAAGAGTTACAGTTATTATGTAGTTTCATTATCAGTTTTCTTTCAGCGAGAGAAGTTTCTTTTCCCTTCCGAGCCATCTCAATTTAAAGCTGTATGATTGACAACCAAAAATGCGAGTTTCAAAGCTAGTAAACATAAGAATGAAACAGATAAAGCGGTAAAAGTAAGAATAATATAAAATCTCGCCAAATATATTCCCACAAACGATATTTGGTGCACAAATTCTCTTAATTTTATTATTTTACAACTTGAAATGTGGATGTACGAATACTTTTGAAGCACGAGGTTTAGTGGTGAGATTCAAATTCTCACTCTATCGAGGAGCTCTTTATGACCAAATTTAAAACTTTTCTCTTAAAAATTCAAATCATTCATGCAACAACTTGAAAAACATTAAGATTTTTTGAAAATTTCAATTAATTTTTACGCAATTTCAATTTTTATTCACTTTTGAAGTTAGTAATTTAAGTGTACAAATACTTTTGACTGCCACTGTATGTTGGAAACTCAGACTGGCGTTGTTGATATTCCAGACGTGGAAAGTGAAACTCTGCAATCATTTTTAGAGTTTCTGTATACTGACACGATAACCGAGGCCAATTGCGAGGAAGTTCTGAAACTGATGTTAGTAGCTGATAAATATCAAGTTGACAACCTAAAAGAAAGATGCTCACAAATACTGACATTAAAATTGAGCGTGGAAAACATTTGTCATGTAATTTCTGTTGCTGAAATGGTAAATCATCCGGAACTGAAACTTTCTGCATTCGATTTTATACGAGCAAACAAAAGAGAAATAATTTCATCCTCTGTTTGGTCAGAGTGGATGAAAAAGAATATGGAATTGGCTAACGAAATTTTAATGAAAATGATTGCCGATTAAAACCAAAACAACTTTTTATGAAAGTGAGTAATTCTTTTTTTATAAATTTATATCATTGCTAGAATTTTACTTATTTCTAAGTCTTTTCGTTCTTATCAAGTCTATTATATTTTTAAAATCAGCAACTGAATATCGATGACGCTATAACATAGCACACATTACTATCATATTTGACACGACATCCCAGGGTGGGGCAAGGTTTTCTGCTGAATATTTCACTAAGACAGCCTTCTGTTTGATCTGGACTGTCAATCTTTTCTTCAAATCGCTTTAAAATCTGAATCGAGACTAAAATTGACTCATAGTGGTTTTGGCCTTCTTCTTTTTCTAATAATAAATGGCTTCTTTTATTCCATTCTTTCTGATAATATCAGAAGCAAAGTTAAATTTTTTTATTTTAGTGTAATATTCTTGATGACATGGGGCTCTTTAAAACAATTATAAGTTTCTGAGTTAAAATGTCATTCATTCAGATTTTATTCAAGGCCATTTTATTCAAATTAGCTACAAAAAAAGAAAACCCTCTTGAGAAACGTTTATTTTGTTTCAAAAACTGCTATTTTTGTTCTCCATTTTTAGCATGAGTTAAAACTAGTGTGATGGGCTGTTTTATATATTAGGAACTTTTTTTCCGGATAGAAGAAAAGTTTTCAAAGAAAAGTTTTTATTGGTCAATGAAAAGTGCTTAATGCTTTTGCTAAAATTTATTGATCATGGAGTTTAGTGAACGTATGAAATTAAGAGTGTATTATAAAATTGATTGTTAACAATAAAATGTTTACATATCAAATTTAAATGCGATGGATTTCAATACGTTAAATTATAAGCAGACAACATAGTTTTTTATGATAAAGTGATATTTGTTATTTCCTGCAATATTAAAATCCAATAGTTTTTTTAACGTCTTGAAAAGCAATACTTTTTTCACCAGTTTCTATTTATATTTCAAATTTAAGGATTTTTATGGCATTTGTAATTCCAATAGAATGCGCAACGCTAGAAAGTTCTATTTTATTGATTGTATTGACTGAAAACCATCGGACGATTCCATAACCATAAACCATTAACGATTCTGAAGCGCCAAAAATAATCTACAGCATTTATATATCTCGTGATAACGAAATCAAAAGGTGATTCATACTTAATCAGGCTCAAAAAGAAGGAACAAATTAGAGTATATGTCATTAAAGTTATTAAAAGGTCTCCTGATAAAAAAAATACACTTGAATAATTTACTTTATTCGAATAACATCTGAAATTTTAAGATAAGGATTTTTAAATACAAAGGTAACCTTATAACATATTTTTTAAAAAAGACTATGAGGACTATACTTATTTAATAATGCTTGCTCGCAACCCATAATAAGGAAGACTCAAACGAAGGTGTGAAAGCAAACGAAAGAACTGAAAAAGATCTAAAATGAAATTTCGTTGACTCAAAACAAGCGTCATATAAATAAAAGAATATCGGTATATTATTGAATTTTAAAGTTATTGTCATTTTAGTGATAGTAACCTTTTACTAAATTTGTTATTTTAAATGGTGCAAACTATTTTGGATGTCATTATCTTCTACATGAGTGTTGTTTTAATTGTAATTATAATAATAAAATGTTACTAATTTTTAAAAAAATCTTAAATTTTTTTTTAATCATCATACAAAATCTAAAACCTAGCTTCAAAGAGTATTTATTGTTTATTGTGATATTACTTTTACTTTAAATTACATATTATACATATTACATACACTTTAAATTACATATTATTACTCTAAAACGAACTATTGTTATTAATTCATATCGGCATTCTTACTTATTATGCTATGAACCACGTTCCAAAAAGGGAGCAACCTTTACTAACAAATCTTCTGCGAGTCAATAAGTTAAAAAAGTTTAAATCAATCCCTTATAAATTGATCTTTCTTTTTTTATACATGACAGAAAACATTATATATATATATATATATACCTTCACCGTTTAAATAACTTAACTAGAAATGAAGAGGGCGCTTTACTATAAAGCATTCAGGAAATTCCTTTCGCATTCCTAATCTTAATTAAATTNAAAAATTTTATTTTTTACTTTTCAATCCTTTGAAAAGTTATGCGATAAAATACCATTTTTCTCTGTGTTTCTGAAATCACACTAAAACAAATTCTTTGACAAACATATTACAATTTAATACAGTTATTAATAATTTTGTAAGCTACGCTATTTTGAGAAAAAAACACGAAAGGAAATAATTATGCTGTAGAGATCAATGAAAAGAAAACAAACAATGAACTTCATTTAAAACTTAATGCAAAAACGAATGAAACCAACTCTAATCTCTTGCCAACATTGAGATAGTAACATTCATTTTTTAAGTTTTGAGAGTCAATAAATTGTACTATTTTTTAAAAATTTAAATAGCTTATTTTGTTAAAATGTATTAAATTAATAATTGTTGTGTCTTGAATTCCCTTGAACAATAATTGAACCTTCCATGTTTCATAATAAATTTTTTAATATTTAAAATTCGTTCTATTCAGCGTCCTTCAGAGGGAGTCACTTGATAAATATTTAAAAAAATCTAAAAATGCTGATATCTTATCACATGCATATGTCACATGATAATATTAACTACGTCTACGGAGAGAGAAGAAGTAATCAGTTAATAAAAGTTTGATATGTGGTAAGAATTATATAAGTTGTCGTTTATGTTTTCTTATATATAAAATAAAAAATATTTATTTCAGGCTTCAAACACTGTAAATTTTCAAAGTGTAAAGGTTTTTATCATGTCTAACGAAACTGAAGGAGAGTTTAAGTTCACTTTGACAATCGGCAACCTTGATCACATTTTAAATACAACAGGTGAATACCAGAAAAAAAGTAAAATTGTTGAGGCTAAGCAATTGAATGGTACAAAATGGTATTTAAGATTGTACCGATATCAATCATCACCTCCAGGTTGTTTTTCGTGTTTTCTATGCAGAATTAATGACGACGACAATTCTGAAAATATAACTGTAACATATAAATTAGAATTGATTGATATGTATGGGAAGATTTTCAAATCTGTTGTAAAGGAAAATATAACTTTTTCAAGAAGATCTAGCAGTGAAGTTGACAGTTTTCTAGACAGTAATTCCCTGAAACAGTATTGGAAATTCACCGGATTCTTGCATTTAACATTAATTTTCCGCTGCCACATAATTGACGCAAGCTACAAAAAACAAGCAATGACGGTGGAAATTCCGAGTGTGATCCATACACAGTGGAAAATAAATATTCCTGGTCCTGAAAATTGGACCAAGAAAGTAAAAATTCCATTTCATGAATGTACTCATATAGATATTATTGTGCATGCTTCTGATGAAGGAATTAACATAAAAATTGAGAAAGTGGATTTGTTACAACCTCATAAAATGAATATATCAATATTGGATGATGAAAATCGTAAAATAGATTGTGAATTGCCAAAAAAAGCCTTCGAAAACCAGAAATTTGAGACTTGGATTGAAAAAAGTCATCTTGTGGACGAATCACGCTTTCACTTACCGTATTCGTTCACTCTGGTATGTACCATTACAACTTCTGGTGAAAATTCGGATTCAAACGCTGAGAATTGGAAGCAAGATTATTCTTTTCCATATTTAATGGGTTCTCCATTACCTCTGCAAGAAGATCTCAAAGAAATGCTATTGAATGACAAGCATAGCGACGTTAAATTGAAGACACGTGACAAAATCATAGCTGCTCACAAATGCTTGCTGTCAGCCCGATCTCCCGTGTTCTCCAAAATGTTTGATCAAGATATGCTGGAAACTCAGACTGGCATTGTTGATATTCCAGATGTAGAAAGTGATACTCTGCAATCATTTTTAGAATTTCTGTACACTGATACGATCACCCACACTGATTATGAGAAATTGTTGAAACTGATGTTTGTGGCTGATAGATATCAAGTGGATTACTTGAAAACACGATGCTCAATAATACTGATGTCCAAAGTGTCGTTGGAGAACGTCTGTGAAGTGGTTTCTGTTTCTGATATGGTCAATCAACCGAGTTTGAAACTGTGTGCAGTTAATTTTATAAAGGAAAACAAAAAGAAGATTATTTCCTCACCTGTTTGGTTAGAGTGGGTGGAAAAGAACATGAAATTAGCCAATGAAATTCTGATGAAGTTGATTGATGTTTGAATAGAAACGCAATGCAAATTTCACTAAAGTAAGTCATTTTTTAATTGTAAAATATCTGAGGTTTTATAATTTGAATAAATTGTATTTTAAATTTGTAGATTGGGGACTATACTATTACGGAGTATATACATTAAAATAGTATTTATGATGTTGGTTATTAATTTTAATTTTATAATTACATTGTTCATTTTAACAATTCGCATTTAAAAATCAATTATCAACTCTTGCCTAATCTTAGTAGTATCTCTATATTAGTCCCGAAAATAAGCACTTGGTGATTTAACAAAAAAAATGCGACTTAAATAAACAGCAGGGCTCTTTCTTAAAAATCGTTTAATGATACAAGTGTAACAGTGTAGAAAGATACTCTGTAAAACCGAATTTTCAATGTCTCCATTCAATATTTCGATCTTTCGGAATCCATCAATTGGGGGAGGAAAGATTCAAGTGGAAAGAGATTTCTTTAACAATTCGCCAAGTTTTGGCGTACACGTTAAATGTATTTCGATTCCCCAAATAAAAATTACATTAAGTTCTTCAATATGTTAGTATGTTTCACTAAATATTGTCACATATTTGTATTATTTTTAGAACTTTTATTATTGTATTATTTTACTTACATTATTATATAATGTTATTATTACATACTGTATTATTTATTTCTTAACGTTTTATATCAGTATATTTCTTCTAATATATTTTTTTTAAAAAGATAATTTAATCCAGGCGAAAGAAAGTTTGCAATAAGTGGTTTTAAAGTGCAAAAGGCCTATAAATTTACAGACTCATTCATTTTGAAGAAAAAGCGGCAGCTAAGTTAGGGTTTACCTGCCACAAGTTACTAACGGAAAATTAAAATTTTCCTTCTATGGTATATTGTGTACTTGAAGTTTGCATTAATTTCAAAATTGCATTCCTCGTTAATGTGCTTTAAACTCTTATATATATAATAAGATAGCTTGCACGAATTTAAATTTATTTCAACGATTTATTTACTTTGAAAATGATTTTTCAGAGTTAAGTTTGAGTTCGAACAAAAAAATTGCTTTTATATCATCATGTTAAATTCAAATCAAAACGAGTATATGTTCTAGTTACAGTTTAACTATAAAACGTGTATTATTTATTGTGCTTATTAAACTCAAGTGTATAAAATTTAACTTGTAATATGAAAATTATGGGTATTTTATGACCGAATTATATAATTAAATTTATTCGTTTTTCGGCTTTTAGAGTTAAATTATGATATTACTAAGTTTGAAACCCAATATATATGAATTTTTAATTCAATAAAATACAATTATTACTCTCTACAGGGGCATATTGTTATTGACAAAAAAAATGAAATTTTAAATTTAAAATAAACTATTATCAATAACATCAAAATATTTTAATGATAGTTATATAGCGTGAGATAGTTATGGTTTTTATACAGAATTATTTTTTTGATTATACTAATTGAATTTAATTATGATGATTAAAGGTTTGTCATAATTGGTTTATCTGTAATATCTTTGTAATGTATGACATTTTTTAAGATGCAGCGCTAAAAATGGCATGCGAAATATTATGAGATAATATCTCAGAGACAAATTTGAATTATCTTTACCAGCAATTTTAAGTTATAAGAAAATTAACAAAAGCTTAAAATCTTCTGCTAATACTGAATTAAAACAAGCTTTCTTAATCTCAATGAAATGCAAACTGATAATAATGATATATTGAAATCATATGAATAGGGTGAGTATTTTCTAAACTAAAAAAGGAAATGCAGTTTGATAAAAAAAAAGGCAATTTAAGTGATAAACAGTTTGTAATTCTCAAATCTAATTACTTTTAGTATTATAGTAATTATGATTATTTTGGATGAGTAGAGCGAAACTAAAGTATAGATACCTGATTTCAACCCTGTTGTAAGTCCACTTGACTAGTACAAAAATTTAAGTAAATAATTATATACCCTATCTATAATTAAATTATTGTAATTATAGCTTACAAGCTAACATTTAAAACGTAACTTCGTTTTTCTTTTAATTGTCATTTTCATTAATTTTATAACGCTTAGAAAAGAGTCTACAGAAGGTGTGTGGGTTAGCGTTAGGTTTTACAAATCTGCTTTTCTTGCTTTACTACAAATTAATACCACTGCCTCTTCTTTTTTAAATAATTTTCAATAATGTTATTAATGTATTGCTTTTCTTATTGACTTCACTGTATTAGATTTGACAAAAAACGTTTTATAAGGGCACTTTTTATATATGAATAGAAATAGTAGAAATGATATTTCTGAATTCCTAACAATCAAGCTTATCCTCAATCATAAGTTTACACAGAGACTATTAGCATCTATGCCAAGGTTTATGCATGAAGTTATTCTACAATTGAGATGTTAACATCGTGAGAGAAAAAAATCGCTTTTCACAAATACACAAAAATTCGAATCAGTTTCATAACATAAAATGTCTATAAAAAAGAAATAGCAATTTTTAAAATAGATATACATATTTTTTCATTCACAATATACTGAATAAATTGCTACAAAAATATGTATTTGCAAATGATTACATCAGTATTTCTGATCGAATATGAAAATTTAAAAAAAAATCGAAAGTCAAAAATCAAAAGCAACCACCCGCTTTATAACAGTTCTTTTTCAAAGACCATAATTCAGCTTATTTTACTCAATTTGATTTATGCATGCTCCAAATACTACAAGCCTTGCCTTTAACCAAAGAAAAAGGTTTCATAGCATAAAAAAAATTTAAAACCACTAAACTAAGCAACTTATCATAGCTCGAAAATATTAATCTACAGTTTTTCTGCAATGAAACTTTTTCAAAGAAAACCAGGAAGAAAAAAAAAGATTTGAAAGGAAATCACAAAATCTTGTAATTCTTTATCTTATACGTCACATGAAGGTGAAAAAAACGTAAAAAAAGAGAATTACAGCAAAAAAACGATTGTTGCTTTTGTTCTATTAATAAATAGTTATAAATTTTAGACTTTGAACATGAGGAGTTTTTGGAAGATTATTTATTTTATCGTCGTTATTTCCGGACTCTTATTCCATTGGCATTGAATGATTTAAAGTATTTACTTTATGTTATATGTGACTGTAGAAGAGTTTTCGTTTGCCAAATGAACTAACAGTTGTCAGTTACTTCCATCAAGGGTTTTTGGAACAGTTATCGATTCAGTTGCTAATTTCATTAATTTCGATTAGAAGACTGCTAAAAAACGATCCTCATATAGTTTATGTTGTGAGTGAGAGAAAGAGCTTCTCTGTCTACCTGGTGTGCTAACAGTAGTCAGTTACTGCGATTAAGGACTTTAAAACCTATCAAAAACTAACGATTTTGTTATTAATTTCGATTCCAGAGGTTTTTAAAAGAAAATCCTCATTTAATTTGCGTCCTTGTGACTGAAAGAGTATTCCATACGATTCCATAACTTTTTAAAAGAAAATCCCTAGTTAATTTGTGTTTCGTGTGACTGAAGGAGTGTTCCATACGAGTCCATATGTTCGACTGAAGGAGTGTTCCATACGATTCTATATGTTTTTAAAAGAAAATCACCATTTAATTTGTATTCTACGTGACTGAAGGAGTGTTCCATACTATTCCAAAACTTCTTAAAAGAAAATCCCCATTTAATTTGCGGTTTGCGTGACTAAAAGACTGTTCCATACGATTCCATAGGTTTTTTCTTTTTTAAATTCCTCATTTTTAAGAGGAAATCACCACTTAATTTTCCGGGTGACTGAAGGAGTGTTACATACGATTCTATAGCCCTTTAAAAGAAAATCACCGTTTAATTTGTGCTCCGAGAGACTGAAGGAGTGTTACATACGATTCTATAGCTTTTTAAAAGAAAGTCACCGTTTCATTTGTGTTCCTCGTGACTGAAGGAGTGTTCCATACGATTCTGTAGCTTTTTAAAAGAAAATCACCGTTCAACTTGTGTTCCGCGTGACTGAAGGAGTGTTCCATACGATTCTATAGCTTTTTAAAAGAAAATCACCGTTTAATTTGTGTTCCGCGTGACTGAAGGAGTGTTCCATACGATTCTATAGCTTTTTAAAAGAAAATCACCGTTTCATTTGTGTTCCGAGTGGCTGAAGGAGTGTTACATACGATTCTATAGCTTTTCAAAAGAAAATCACCGTTTCATTTGTGTTCCGAGTGACTGAAGGAGTGTTCCATACGATTCTATAGCTTTTTAAAAGAAAATCACCGTTTAATTTGTGTTCCTCGTGACTGAAAGAGTGTTCCATACGATTCTATAGCTTTTTAAAAGAAAATCACCGTTTAATTTGTGTTCCGCGTGACTGAAGGAGTGCTCCATGCGATTCCAGAGGTTTTTAAAAGAAAATATCCATTTAATTTGTGTACCGTTTGAGTGAAGGAGTGTTTCATATGATTTCATAGCTTTTCAAAAGAAAATTCTCATTTAATCTGTTCCGTGTGACTGAAGGGGAGTTTTCGTTCATTAAGGTCTGGTTTCTTAGGACAAGCGCCTTATCTGGGCGTCAGCGGGACGTCAACGTCGCGCTGACGCCAAAAAAATACTTTTTTGTTAGCTCAGCGTGAGCAGTCGGTCCAACGCAGACATTATCTCTCATTGCGCATGCGTTAATAACGTAAACAAATATTTATTTTGAATTTGTATTGATTTTGTTATTGTCGACCAGTGTTTTAGAGAACAAATAATGACTTTGTCCAAGAAAAAACACATTATAGCTGAGCTAAATGAAGAGTGCTATGTTTAATGAAGAAGCTATGTTTAATGTCAAAATCAAAATCTTGGCTGATTTCAATGTGCTGTTGGATGTTGTCCGCCATTGCTTCTGTGGTTAACGTCACGTTGTAATCCAACTGCAGTTGAGTTGGACGGCAATTGTAGTTCAAGATGAGCGTTCGATGACGTATACTATCAAACTCACAAATGGACCAATCAGAAGTTAACGCTGATTTCCAGCTGACGGCGTCCTGTTCTAAGAAACCAGGCCTTTAGATGTGTCAGTTAAAGGAATATAGGAGAGATATCGACCGTTTGCTAATTTTTATCGACTCAATAACTAATTACATCAACTTCGAATCAATATTAGATTAACATATATAAGAATTCCTTTTTTTAAAATTATGGCTAACGAGACTAAAGGAGTATTCACGTTTATTTGGACTATTGACAGTACACAATTACTTATATTAAAGAGTGCAAGAGCTATTGAGAGTCCTATTGCTGATGATGATATAGTGCAAGGAAACAAGTGGTCTTTAAAAATGAGCAGGAGATCCCCTCTATCAGATCATATCAATATTCACCTGTAGAGGTATAATTTGGATTAAACTATAAAAGATGTATCGGTTTCATTGAGTTTAGAAGTTGTTAATTCGGATGGGACAGCCTACAAAATTGCTAAGGAATCATATACATTTTCGAAACTTTCATCACCTGCAGTCGATTTTGCTTTATTTCGGATAAGAATTTTTTCTCATATCTGGGAAAAAGAATGCAAAAAATTGGTGCGAGAGACAAATTGATGCTGCGTTGTCATATAACTCACGAAGAACAGCATACTTGCATGAATCATGCAGCCATTCAGACACAGATGTGCTCCTTCAAATGAAAAATAAATATTCCTGAACTTACGAGTTTTTCAGAGAAATTAAAAGTTTCCTCTCAAGAAAATATTCATTTTGACATAATAATATCCGAGTCCAGTGTAAGAATTTATATAACAATTGAAATGGATTTCAATTTGTATGAGCTGAAAATAATGGTGCTAGATGATAAGGAAGTGGAAATCGACATTAAAGATCCGAAATACTTACTCGAGTCCACTGAAAGATTTGAGACTTGGATCGAAAAGTGGCAAGTTGCAGCTCATTCATGTTCTCATTTAGCTTATTCGTTCAACCTAATATGCGTTGTTTCTGCTTACAGTGGAGCTTTGAAATCGATTGATGATCATGGTGATAAATATGCCCTGAGAAAAGTGATTTCATCATCGATGCAACAAGATTAAAAGTATATGTTGTTAAGTGAAAAGCATTCCGACGTGAAATTACGGGTTGGTGACGACTTTTTACCAGCCCACAAATGCTTGCTGTCGGCCCGATCTCCCGTTGTTCGCCACCATGTTCGATCAAGATATGTTGGAAACTCGGACTGGCGTTGTTGATATTCCAGACGAGGAAAGTGAAACTCTGCAACCATTTTTAGTGTTTCTGTATACGGACACGATCACCAATACTGATTATGAGAAATTGTTGAAACTGATATTAGTGGCTGATAAATATCAAGTGGAAAATCTTAAAGAACGGTGCTCACAAATGTTGATTACTAAAATGTCCGTGGAAAACATTTGTGAAATAGTTTCTTTTGCTGACATGTTCAATCAACCAAATGTGAAACTATTTGCAATTAGTTTTATAAAAGCAAACAAAAAAGAAATAATGTCGTCACTTATTTGGTCAGAATGGATGGAAAAGAATACGAAATTGGCTAATGAAATTTTATCGAAAATGATAATTGATTAAACTAAACAACAATGTGGATACAAACGTTTCTTTCACAAAACTGTGGTTAGTAACTTGGTTATTCTTTTTGATGTAAACAAAGTGTATTTTTTATTTCTATTCGAGGACTATTCGATTTCTATTTTTTGATTATATTCGAGGTGTAAATAAAAGTTCTTTCTTCTCTTTACTGGATAGTAACTACAAAACAAAGGAATTTATCAAGAAAATTTCGTGAAAGTCTCTCACACATGATATGACATGAAAATCTCTCAGACCATTATATATTAAATTTTAGTGGGAAAAATTGATTTTTATATTTAAAAAGGTTCATTTTTCAAAAAAAAAATTTTAAATTATCAATTTACAGATCCACTTTTTTTTACTAAGCATGATCTACACAGTGAAAAACTATAATTTAGAACGATATTTTAAACAGGCAAAATAACGACAGTTGGTGGAAATTATGACAAAAGCAGGTTATAAATTTTTAGAACTTCTGCACATGGCTCTGACTGTAAAGGAAATTAAGAAATAATAGTGCTTTGATTGCTGAATAATGCTTTATTGTTCTTTGACTTGAACAATGGAGACAAAATCACTTTGTACTAAATTTTATATTAAAATACTACTTTAAATTTCTTTATATTTTACAACACAAATGCAATTTCAATTTCTATTAAATTATACAGTTTGTCCTTACTGTACGCCTATTGTATATTTTTATATGTTTTTAGTAATATTACATATTTTATAAGATTTATATATTTTTATTTCCCTGTCAAAAATGAAATGAAAAATATATATACATAAGGGGTCCAAATTTGTTTTGGGTAAAAAGTGAGGAGAGTGAACAATATTAATGAAGAATATTGTGTTGTGAGTGATGAAGATTAAAGTCGATGACGAAAACGGGATCATAATCACAAACTGTTATTAAAAAATATGAAATCTCTTATGATTACTGGGGAAAGCAGAGAGGAGTTAAAAAAGGTGATTATTAGAAACACTTCAAGATTCATCAAGCAAGATTCATCATTTTGTAATAATTCATTTTGTATTATAATAGATTTAACACAACTACTCATGGATTAACTTAATGATTGTTCTTCTCCTCAATAAATTAAGATTTTTGTGTACTTGATACTAAAAGTGTGAGAAGTTTTTTATAATAGGTTTTTTTTGTACTTAAATGTACCAGTATCACTTTGTAACTGATAAATTTTAAAGTTATAAAAGAAGTAACTCATTTGTAAAATCTTATCTTTTTCAGAGAAATATTCTTGAAATTATGCAAAAGAACTGGCTTGGCGCAGATTGTGAAATTGGCACTATTTCTGTAATATTGAAATTTTACTTATGTATTTTTCAAACTGTTCGATGAAAATATATTTGTATATTTTTTTGTTGTATAATTTGTACTCTTATGACAGAATTTAATTTTGATCTTTATTTTTTTATGCTTACTTCGAAATATTAAGGAACGAAGTTATCTTATTGTGGAGCTAATTTAAAGTTATATTTCTTACCTCTTTCACTTACAATTTCACCAAAGAAAAAATAAATATATACAAGCAATTTCCATGCAGTATTTTGTGATTTGAATTTCATCACAAATAAAAATTCTTAATTCCTTTTTCTATTGTTAATTTTGTTTCATTTAATGTCTCGATAAAAAAAAGGTAGGTAAAGGAACTTAAAACTGAGAAATCTTCAATTTAGTAAAAAGTATTTGTGTGGTTTTAAACCTTTATGGAAAAAATCACATCTTTTTAATAACTCATTTAAGTAAATACTAAACAAAGTTTATTGGCAATATTAATTTAAAAATTGCTGATCATTATTGTGTATCACAGTTAAGTCTACAACAAGATGTTCTATGGTTTAATACAAAGAGCTTTTGACGTTCATAATTAATTGTGACTAAATTTTGCATTCTTTTAGTATTTTTAAATTTTTTTAAAGTTACCTCTTATAGCTGTTTTCGAATTATCCTTTAGAGTTTAAAGTTATACAAATTTAGGCTTCTTTAATTAACCTCTTATGGCTTAAAAAGGCTAACTTAAAACTACTCTTTACGATTATTTAAGAAAAAGAAACAATGGATTTTAAATGAAAGGAGATTTAAAATTTCTCCATTAATTATTATCATAATTAGGGATTAAAAAAATAGTTATGTAAAGAATGAATAGTATACTATATGCAAAGTATTTTGAACTTTTTTATTCGCGTTTTTTTTTCAAATAGTTTTCTAGATCTTCTGGAAGGTTAGTTGGCGTTGCAAGTCGGAACAATTAAGAGAGTTAAAGCTGATCTCTTTCTCTTACACTTTCTTTTCAACAATTGATAAAATAAAATTGTGAAATAAAACGGAATGTGACGAAAGAACTTGGAAAAAAAATAAAAAAGATTCTACGCCTTTTCAAAGGAAGTTAAATGAACCATGCTTTATCAAGCTTTCATTGAAATTAGTTTTCGAAATAAAAATATTAATGGGTAAGCTATTATTAAGATTCACTTTGTTTAAATAGATGCTTATATACGTAAATATTTTTTCTTCCACAACACAAAATAATGTAAAAAAAAAATATTATAACTAAAGCTGTTTCTTTTGTTATACTTTTCTGCTGAAGTTAATTTTAAACTATGACAACTAAGATCAATATAGTGCGCATCTAATCCAAAACGTGTGTTACTAGGAAATAGATATAATTCATGATGAAAATTGTAAACTTAGCCTATGGGTTGGTTATTTTTTTAAGGAGTTCTGTTCTCCTGACCGACAACATACATTTGTGGCTATTTCTAGCTTAATAGTAATTGTTAATCAATTGTGGAAATAAAGGGAAAGAAACTATAAACCGACATTAAACAAGTATAACAACAGTTTACTGTTGTGTTGTTGTTGTTGTCGCTTGACAAGTGCAGAGAAGTACAAGTTAAATAGGACCAAGGGCATGGAGTACAGCCCTGGCCACATCTCCGACTTTTTTTGGAATAAAGGGTGTCATGCCAGCAGATGAGGTCGATGTTCAACAGTTTACTAAATGAAGTTATTAAACTGATCATTTTCTGCGCCTTCTCAAACTCTACTACTAGTGTTATTTTTGGTAAAATTCACCAAAATTCCTACAATTTACGCGTTTTAAAACAAATACAGTTCCTCCAGGGAGTGAAAATTATTTCAGTGCCTTAGTGAGGAACTTAAAAAAAATAGAGAGATCATTAATTTATTGGAAATAGGCAAGTTTGAACTAAACGTTCTTTTGTAAATTAATTTATTAAATTTTAACAAAAAAATTTTATAAAAAATGGGATTTAAGTAATGCTTTAAATTAGTATCCTTTTTTTTTTAATTTTATTTATAGCAAACAAATTTTTTCAAAATTTTTGATATTGTCCTAATATTAGTCACAAAGAGTCAAATTTCATCTTACCCAATCCCCCTTATGACATGGCCCGCTACATTAAAATGTACCAGCAGTTTAGAAACAGAATTCTTGTTATAGATCATTTTTTAAATTTTGTTTTTCAACTTCTGAAATGTGTATTTTAATCTACTTTCTAAGTGAAACAACAATAATGTGTAGGTGTGTACTTATTCTAATAAAAATGAAGAAAAAAGTATGAAATAGGATTAGATAAAAATATTTAATCTGCAGTAATCGAAATGTGTATGTCACACTTCTTGGTTTCTCCCCTTCTCCTTCCCAGTAGAGCAACGATGTCAAAACTCGCAATCTGCGGGAGGGTAATCATTTTGATCAACTTCAAAAGGGACCGAGGGTGTGCGGTATGGGACTTCGTTAAACTGTACTACCAAAAAGTGCTCGACTTCACGTACAGGTCATTGGGCTACCAAAGCGGGGGAGCCATCCCCTATGCTGAAGATCAAAATTGTGATGGCACGTCTTCGGATCATCCTCATGGATGTTTTCCCAATCATCACCAATGGTCCATTGAGCTAGCTGTGATGGTTAAGGGGTTAGAACTCTCACCTCTCAATAAGATGACCCGGGTTGAAATCCTAGTGATGGTTGGTCAATACAAATTCTGCTTCCAGCTCACATCGACCACATTGCTGTTGTAAAATATACTCTGGATCCGTTTAACACCGGATCTCTCCTTGCCATCAGGCTAACAGTGTGAGGTTTTCCTCTCCATGTGAAGCAAATGAGGGTTAGTTCCATCCAAAAGTCCACCACGAATTCTAGTTTCTCCCAATACTTGATCCAAGAGTTTTCTTGTCTTCTGGATTGGCCTCAAAATTACAAGGCTACGGAGTTCAAGATTGGTAGACCTTAACTCAAAACTGAAACTACCGTTCAACAACTGTTATAAAATAAAATAAGACCCATTGTGCAGCTTTAAAGCAAAGTAATTCAACAAACTCTGCTAGGCCATTCGGCATATTTACGAAAATAATTTTTTTTTCTCATTTTATTGCGAAAACACAAATAAATTTCCAACTGAATTTGCTTTTTTTCTGAAAAAAAAAGAATGCCTATGTATCGTTCTAGGTATCTATTTCTCATTTCTTACACTTTCTTCAACGAATAATGAACTTTTGGACAGGAACCATCCATTGAGATGCTCGGCTCTGCGTGGGGACTCTGAGGTGAGGCGCTACTGGAGTGTCCTACATTTGTTAATGAGATAGTGACTTTTTACTCTTACCTGTTGTTCACTGTATTTGTAAGAGTTTGTCGTTTTCTTTTACCATTAAAAAAAAACACTTTCTTCAACAAATCTAATTCCCTCCTTACCGTTGAAAAGCCCATCTGTCAGTCGCATAAAGCTCCAATTTCCCAGTAAAAATGAGCCAGTTTAATCAGAAATTGAGACATATCAATTGACTAATCTTCAAAATCCTCTTCGCACTTCTGTTATGAAAATGAAAAATTCAAAAGGTGCAACAGAGAATAGGTGGATACAGATTGGTTAGTTTTGTAAACGAGTGCTGCCTGAAGTTAAAGGAAAAAAGTTTCATTTTATTTATATCCTAGTGGGCTGCGCACTTGCTCGCTAACGCTCGCCAACCCCCGAAAATTGCTACTCAATCTTATACGCTTCGCTCGCTACTAACTTAGGTAGAATTCAAAACAATCATTCAAATCCATATAACAACTTTCTTTTAAAAAAAAAATTACATCTCTTTAGTAAATACTAAAAGTCATTAAAATAAATTTGAATTCAAATAAATGACATGCAATTCGTTAAACCTATTAGAAATGTGATATAGTGTAAAATCTTAAGATAAAATTTCAAAAACTGATATCTCTTTAAAAAGGTTTAAATTTTTGCTATAATTAAGTCTATTAAAAATTGAATTAAGTGAGTTGAAATGGAAAAACCTGCATAAACAAAACATTATGTTTTTAAACGCATTATGTTGTTACGCATTCTTTCACCACTACGTCTTTCATAGCTGTCATCAATGCTCTCTTCCAATCTTCAAACACGCTTCTTTTTATTATATTTCAAAAGCGTAACAGCACTACTGAGACTCATTTTTCAATGAATAACTAATAACAATAATAAAACAAATTAATTCGTGATATAAATCAAAAATCGTCAAATAAATTCGTAATAAATAAATTCGTGAAAAAAAGCGCTATCGACAAAATACTAAAATAGAGATATATCGACAAAGACTACTCACTTCTGCCTAGCTTAATGGTATGAGATTGCCGCAGCTGAATTGAACAACCTGATAGGATGAATTTCGGAAGAGATCACATTAGGTGAGAATGTTCTCTCTGGTTATTTCCGTTTCCGTTTTTTGAAGCGCTATATGTTGAGTCACCTCAGCTAGATTTGGCATGTGATATTTTTAGCGGCAAACATTGGTCGATTTTCTAGCATTGCCAATCTGAGAGTTGTAATGAGGCTTTTTTTGTCGCCGTGTAAGAAAAATATATATATATATAT